GATTTAAAAAACATTGGTTTGAATTGCTGCAGTATCCAATTTACAGGATCTGTTGGTGACTTCACCCAATGTGCGCAATCTGGTAACCTGGTAAATCTCTATAGAGGTGAGAAACTCTCAGAATCATGTTTCCCATATGAATTTAGCATTTGCTTTCCATGAATATTCTTAAATATTTCTGCCAGCGATGACAGTCAAGGGAATATTTGCAGAAAGCAAACAAGAAATGTGAACAAAGTCTAAGAAAGTTTGATATATAATTTGTAGGCAGTTGGAGAGCATTGTATTGAAGAGATGGATGTGGTGGTGTTTGATTTGGAGGTCAAATGACAATAAAATTAGTTTTCCAGAAACTAGAATTTTTATATCTACTATATATTTGAGTCTGTCTGTTCAAGAACTTCTCCTAAATGGTAAGAGCTAGGATCACCAAAGTCAGTATATAAATTCCTCTTATCGTAACTTAAAGCAAGGCAAGGGCTTGGTTGTGCCAGGAAAACAGGATGTGCCCAGAATAGGGATGTAAACATGAATAAAAATATTAACCATGTAATCAATAAAAAATATACAGCTTAACCACTCCTGGGACTGCCAGCTCCCAGCCTAGAGGACTGCTGGCTCCTAGCTCTACAGGACTGCTAGGACTCCCAGCTGCCTGGCTCCTGACCCCACAGAGTTGCAAGGGCTCTTGGCACTCCTAGCTCCGTGAGTCTGCTAGTGTTCCTGGCTCTTGGCCCCACAGGGCTACAAGGGCTCCTGGCTCCATGGAGCTCCCAACTGCCTGGTCCCCAGCCCCACAGCTGCCCCATGCAGAGTTTAACCTTTAACTGTAACTGATAAGCATCATCTTATTGGTTAATAAGTTAAACTCTTACAGCTCTAGCCCAGAAAGGGATTGCTTTTCATAAATCATTAGGGGCTAGATGAGGGCATACCACCTTCTCTGAAACTGCCCCAACCCTGGTCCTCCCACCTCCCAGGCACCATTTAGAAAGCGGCGGGAGACTGCAGCTCCTCTTCCCCTTTTCGTAGGAGATACATAAAACCATATAGAAAAGAGACAGAATCACCAGGCAGGAGAAAGCGTTTGACTGGGAATACTCCCTCCCCATCCGGCACTGCCTCAGCCCTGAGCCTCCAACCCACCTAGGTGCCCTTTAATTGACGCTTCCCCCTCCCCCCATTCATACAAGGATATTGCTAGCTGTTCCTCTTCTTCAGGGAGCCAGGGAAAAGTACACTGTGTGCACCATACCTCTCTGACAGGAGAGTACAGGGGGTAAACGAACCTAAACCTGCCCCAGCCCGTGGGTCATGCACCCATCCCCCAGCTGTGTCTGCTGAAGCTGCTGCAGCCATGAAGAGGCACTTTTCATGTGGCCCCAAGCTACTAGGGTGACAGAGGGCTAGTACAATCCTCTCTCCCAAGGGGAGCCTGCATACTGACCCCCTCTTCCTCAGCCCCACTCCAGAATAATAATTTAAATCAGTGGTTCTCAATCTGTGGTTTGCGGACCCCTGGTAGTCCACAATGGTACTGTAGGTGATCCACAGAAAGTTTAAAAGTAAGGACCGGGCCCATCGCAGAACTGGGACTTTCCACCAGGCAATTCTCACCCTGGGCTTGCCGTTCATAACCATCCGTCCTCCTGCTGCCAGCTGCGCTGCTGTTTATGCTCCAGCCCTCTCACGCATCAGGCCCGATTCTTACTTTCCTTCTCTTTTCTTTTTTTCTCTCCCACAGCTCCGTGCTCAGCCAAAGGCCGAGTGCCGGGGCAGGAGCTGCCTTTGGCCACTAGAGCCCCCTCGCCGTATCCTTTGTGGATGGGCAGGGGATGGAGGGAGCAGGAGATGAGGAAGCAGAGCGGGCCAAGGGACGTGCTGGCTGCTGCATCTCACCACTCCCTTTCACCCAGAATGGCAAAAGTCAGGGACTGGGAGCTGACAGGCTCCAAGCCTGCAGATGCTCCACATGGATAAAAAATCCAAGCGTGCCAGCGGTTTGCCCTGCTGGGCTAGGAAGTGATCCTGGGAAGTGCTGCGGACTCTGCTGGGACATTTGTTTGCTTGCAAAGTCTGAGTTTTTGTTTGCTTGCAGGCACAGAGCCTCTTAGCTCCCATTGGCTGTGAACAGCAGCCAATGGGAGCTGAAAAGCTCCATGCTCTGCAGTCTGCACATCCCTCAGCCTGCGCTGAAGCTGACAAGCTGAAACTGTCCTATGGAGTCGGCTTATAAACGAGTCGGTCACTTTTTACCATTTTTTCTCTTTTTTGAAATTATCATGTTATGTGAATATGCCACCCCTCTCTAACTGCTCAAAAGCTATTAGAGTGGTGGGAAGGGTTTAGTTGGACTGCTAGCAAAAATGGACTGGTGGATCCAATAAAATGTTATTAAATAAAAATATATGGCACCTCCAAGTTGTTACATTTCAATGTAGACACCCTGTATTATCACTCAATACTGCTATCTTTGTTTAGATAACATGAACTATTATACATTTCAAATGATTATCAAGTAATGGAATGTTTGAAAATAGCTATATTGTTGGGGGGTCTATACAATTTTAATAGATTAAAAAGGGGTCTGTATGCTTGAAAAATTTGGGAACCACTGATTTAAATGAAGCACGTACATTTTCATTTTATTTTTCAAAAAACAAAAAATAACTGAGTTAAGGACCTGGGCAACTCAGGGTAAATCTCGTTATAAAACTGACTTGCTTTTAGATCTTGTAACATCCAAAGATCCTGAGGCTGAAATGAACAAATTAAAATGTGATAAATAATGACAGAAAACTATATACCCAGCTCTAGCAGAAAGGACTTTTATTTTGCAGTATGGAAAGCTGTTCTGCAGGTTCTGGGAAGACACTGGGATTCATCCACACACAGCATGTAGGATCCAGGAGTCTATAAAAATTCCTACATTCCTGCCTGCAATTACCAGAATTTAGGATCTTAGGAACTGGAGTGCATTCTAAGAGTTGTCTATCCTGCCACTTTATTGCACTGTAACTTTCTCACTCTGGAGTGTGAGAACACCAAAACCTGAGCACAATAAGTTACAGTGCTGTAATCCACCAATGTAAACACATTAGCTACTCCCCTGGTGGAAGTGGTTTACCTTCAGCGCTGGGAGATCTCTCTCCTAGCACTGATGCTGAGACCACACTGCTGCATGAAAGCACTGTCGCAGTTGCGCTTTAAACTAGAGAGCTCTCTAGTGTAGCCATAGCCTAAAATTCAAGATCAGAAAGAAGGAAACACTTACCCACAGACAAAGCTTCTTCCCTTACATCATTATCACTAGGCTGATGAATTTTCCAAGATGTCAAAGGAAGTGAAGAAATTTCTTCAGCGGAAGTTAACTTTACCATGTCCATGTGATTGCTCTTGGGCTTGTATTGCGGAATGAAACACTCCTTCCCTCTCTGAAACATGTCCTTAATAATTTCTTCTGTCTGGACTTCATCTTGCATACTCAGAAACACTGCAATTCTTTGGGACTCTTGGTATTTGGAATGCCCAATTACCTACAAGGGAAATTACTGCAGTGAAGTTTATGAAGAGATGCACTTTTTTTTTTACTTAAAAAAAATCAGGTTTAAGCTTGCATTATTCTCCGAGAAAATGTTGGAAATATAAACTCTCTCTCTCTAATGTTCACATCAGGAAAACATCTTTTTCCCTGTGTTTACTGAAAAAGAAATCAACATAAATGATTTTGCATATTCAATTTATAAATCATATTAGCATTGCTGAAGCTATAGCTACATAGCTCTGAGACAGCATTTGTGAAATAGCTCATGGATGGAACATTTCCCTCTTGCCACTGGAGCAGAACCAATGTTCAGTATATTTTGCTGATCTGATAAGCATTTATGCTTTTTTTTAAATTTGTTGTATAGCACATTCAGACGATCAACATTACTGCAGAAAAAAGTGCATGGGACAGGGAGATGCTATTCCACACAGCAGATAAAGTGTTTGCATTCCTCATTTTTGTTTTTGCCATACATTTGGTCCCACCTTTGGGTCTTGGCAGATGAGAGGTAAGTGAATGACAGTGTCAAGTCCAAAACTCAAAGGAAAAAGCTAGCTAAAAGCTTTAGCTCAGGCAGAGTTGTTTCTTTCTGCCTACCAAGGAAAATAAGTTGAGGCTTAATGGCTTGCAAGATCAGGCCTTTAATGCCTTGCCTTAGTTCTTTAACCTGAGCTAACCTGGGTACAGGAGTTCGAGATGCCAAAAGTGTTCTCCTATATGCTTCTGCTGAAAGGCAGTCTTATTGCTGCCTATTCCCCCAGCTGACCTAGAGAATGTAGGAGAAATTGCCTTTGTGCTTCTTTGATCTAAAAGAGGCTACTCGATAAACCAAAGGCTGAACTGGGCTGAACGTAGGAAGTGAATTAGAAATTGCATATATGGTGTGCATGATATAATGTAAAAGTTTCAGATCTCGCATAACACCCTCCTGAATCACACTGGAATTTAAAAAGATGTTTTTGAGGGCCAGGTCATTACTTACAACAGTACAAAACAAGTGTGATATGTTTCCATTCTGATTTCAAAGTAATTTATACTCCTCCGCTCGCGCTCTCTCTCTCTCTCTCTGTTCCTTCTTCCACCATACTCCTCCCCTTCCACACTGTGGGTAAATACACTGTGGAAAATGTATACTGTGATGAATGCATGGTGCAGTTACATTGTGCCCCTGAAGACAAATACAATCAGTCAGGCAACCACATTAGTGCCAAAAGCCTGAAGATGTGTCTCTGGCTCAGGAACTAGTTCCTGTCACACCCCAGATGTTTCCAAAGAGAAAACGCTTTGCCCTTTGTACATGAACTGATGACTATTACTGTAGAATCAGAGCATGCACATAGCATGACTTTAATCAGGAACACAAACATTAAGCAAGCACAGTCATGCAGTAGCTAATTATATAGTAGCAGGACAGTCAGCCTAGTGCAACTATTCCAATTTGAATTGAAGATCTTTCCAAGACTGGAATTTACATAAAGGCATTCGTCAAGCTATAAGTCAGTGGTTCTGAAACTGGAGTCCGCGGACCACTAGTGGTCCACGGACACCTTGCAGGTGGGCCACGGCTCCAGCTCACGTTTCCCTACCTTCCCCCCACAGCAGGGAGCCTGTGCTGGCTCTACAGCTTCGTGCCCCCCTTCCCCATGAGATGGGAGC